GGAATTCTATTTCTCAATGAAATATTCAGAGGAAAGATTTATAGCTTTGTATAAAGCAGTACAGAGCCCTCAAATGTACTTGAAAGAAAAATGCAAACCCAGCCTTCTGATGCTTTGGACCATGTGCATGGATTGTTCTGTAGTACAGTTCGTAGAAAGAGGCAATACATTAACACCAGCCCCACGATAAAGAGGTCCTAGTAATTGTGGGTAGAGGTTAACTTTGACATACCAAGATGGGAATTGATCAGTAATAAATAAATATATACATACATGCGCGCACACACACCACACACATTATTTTAAATATATATAATATATATTGTGCATATATATAATGTATTGTATATGTATATATAATATATGTATTTTGTATAAAAAAGCTTCACATTCAAGTATAGATATGTATTAAAATGTTTGGAGAGGAGGACCTTTTGAAGTTAATCTTAAACAGAGAATCTATCGTAAACAGAATTCTTATTAAGATCATCAAGACGTGTTTTCCCTAATTTCAAAATGCGATCAGTTCAGACGGTTAGTGTTCCACTGATTACTGAGAAACACAACACAATGAAAAGTGAGAAAAAGGGAAAAAAAGTTATAATGGAAAGTTAGATATAGTGTCAAATACATCAATATATACATAAATCCTTTACTTAAGATATCCCATGCTTGGAGGGAACAAAAATGATTTTTTAAATTTGAATTCATAATATGGTGCCTCAGTTGTTGTGGGTTTTTTCTAATCAAATTATCATAGCCAAAGGAAAAAGAAATCTGAATGATTAGAAGAAGAAGGGTTGAAAATCAACCCTGATATGAAATATGGCTCATGCAGCCTCATTCTGCATCTAAAATATGAAATGTATCAGGAGTAGAGAGAATATTGGATGGAAATTTTGAACCTCGATTAGCCCTGGATTGATTCAATGTCTAAACAGATATTCTCTCTCTTGAAATCCCAGTGGCTTTCATCTTTAGATTGTTGAAATTATGATCACAAAATCAGCAAGGAAGTCACCCTGATTTTTTACAAAAACAGACAATGACAATACTGTGTATCTAACTCTGTAAATCTACAAGTCATTGGTTTTGCTTGACAATACAGTACAATTTCAGAACTGTAATCAGAGGTTTATGCAAAGAAGGCATGGCAAAATACAGCCACAGCCAATAGGATGATGCCATTGATATTCACAACATTTCTCCAAAGTGGCACTTCGCTTGTGTCAGTCAGTTTCTTCTTCAATGCTTCCTCTTCCTCCTTGCTGAGTTTGGGTCCTTTTTGTTGTTCTAAGCCACAGAACCAGTTGTACGCTTTCTTAAAGCATCCCGGTTCTTCTTCACTTTCCTCGTTAACTGGAAGGAATAACACACCGGTCATGAAATGTAAGCACGGACAACTGCATGCACTAGAAGATCTATTCCTGTATTTAATGCAGTTGTTCTGATTTATGGTCATAGTTACATGGAAACATTTTAGTACAAGGCAGTACAACAATCAAGTTAATAAGTCCTCCTGGAAAAAGAGTGATTTTCTACATGCTGCAAGAGAGCCTTTTGCAGAAGACACTTGTGCCTTTTGCAGCCTAGAGACTTGGTCTGGTAGTGGAGAAGCAAACCACACTGCAAAGCTTACACTCCTTTCTTTCAATACTTTCTACACTTTTAATTAGAAGACAAGTAAATGAATTTGAGGATATTTATGAAAAGGAACTTAGCAGCAGAACCAGAGACCCAGCAAAGAGAGCAGGTGCATTTGCCCAGATGAATGTCTGGCAAGTCGCTTTCATGGTGCCTTGCACCACATCAGTGCTCCTTCAATCCTGGCTACTACCCACTATTTCCAAGTGAATTCTTGTTGTTTCATTCCAAATGCTAGCCCGCCAATGCATACCACCTCTGACCTAAGGCATCTCCATTGTTTTAGTCCTAGAACTGACACCTAGCTACCTAGAGAACAAGATTTTCTCCCTTCAAATCCATTTCACTTTGGATTTACACTGAGCTTGGCTTACTAGCCATTTAAATATGTGGGGTTTGAGGTTTGTTGTTGATGGGGAGGAACTGTGTCTTTGAATATCAAGCACGTTTCTTCAGCAATGAAATAGGGATACTCAAATATATTGATAGAGTCTATACATATTCAACAGTTACCTGATTCCGCATCTTTTTCATCAGCTTTGTCCTGCTCCTCATCTGCGTCAAGATCAATACGCTCTTCTTTGCTGTTCCGCAAAGACCAGCACAAGCGGTAAAGCTGCCATGAAACAAAATGAGTTTATAAATCTACAGCCTTACTACACAGAGACGAATCAGTCTGGCCAGCACATGAACAAGCTATAAGACTGTGGCACCCCAAATATCTGTTAAGTCAATTTTTAGTATTACTAGGAGTCACTGAAGATTTGTGACAGGTAAATGAAGACTATTTCCTTTGCTTTCTTACAAGGACTATATGATGTGTGTAGCTGAAATGTCAGGAGGTAATATACCAAGTGGCAGTGTTTAAAACTAGTGGTTTCAGAGTTCCATTTCTTGAGGAGCAGGACTGCAATAATACTCACATGTACATCGGGAATGGGTTTAGTCATGAAGGAGACTGACAGGATGACGATGGTGGAAACCCCAAAAAGAATCATTGCAAAGTAAAGGTAATGAATCCCACAGATGATGAATGGGCATTTGGAAGGGGTCACACAGCTGCCAGTTCCGTAGGCAAACTCTGCAATCATTCTACTGAGTCCAACTAGCAGCCCAACCATCAGGCCCCAGAAGGCACCCTGCAGACAAAGTGACAGAAGTTACCAAAATTAGTAATTTCAGGCATGAAAATAAGCTCTAAGCTCTGAATAGTTGCTGGAGAAAACATGGAGGTAGTTATGTGTTAGATTACATTGGCTTTGGCACATGGGTTTTAACCCAGCTGTACTTTCAGTGACCGTATTTACAGCTCAGTTTATTAATACTACTGAAAGGGGCAATGAGCAGCAGCTCAGAGACGGAATATGGAGAACACCTTATGCAGCTCATTTCTCAAAGTTCATCCATCTCCAGACAATGCTCTCCTTATACAGGACAGGCTCTAGCCACAGACTACGCATCCCACTACATATCTTTTTTATCTTTGAGGGCTAAATCCCTGACTGTTCTAGCCTGATGGAATCCGCTAGCAAGTGTGTGTCATTCCTCCTGAAATACGTGTCTGGCTTATTTTCTAATCACCTTGTTAGTAATTAGTTAAAAGTTAATTCTCAACACTTTTGCTGGATGTTTTGCTGCTAGGTTTAATATTACTCTAGCACAAAGTATAAAAGACACACAGCACAAAACTTTTGCAAAACTGAAATATGGGAAATTCTGTTTAAACATAAATATATTTCCCTTTTACTGTAATGGTGATTGGAACAGGTTATCTAGACACATCATAGAGTCTCTATCCCTGGAGATATTCAAAACCCAACTGGACAGGACCTGAGCATCCTGCTTTTGTTAGCCCTACTTTGGGTAAGGGGGGATTGTGCTAGTCCAGAGGTGCCTTCCGATCTCAACCATTCCGGGAGTTTGTGAAGTCAGAAAATTAATGATAGTAATGCAAAGTTATAATTCCTGATTAAAGAATATTCTACATTTAATGCTGCATTTAAGAACAAAACAGTTTTAATTATCCAGTGGTCAAAGTCACAAAAATGTTTCGGAGTAGGACAAGACAGTTAATTCTATTTCTAGCAGAAAGAAGAATAATTCTGGGCAAGAAATGCTGATAAATCTTACAAGTAATTACAATATTGGAATTTATCTTATGCAAGGCTCCAATTATCAGAAGCTTTGATGTTTGTCTCCCCTATTTGCCCAAATTTAAATTGTGCAATGTACCCAAACCTCTGAGGATTATACTGAATCCTTACTCAGGTAAAATTCCTGCTAAAGTCAATGACAGATTTTCACAAAGGGCACAAAGATTTAATCCATTTGTGAGGTTTAGCCATACTGGGGTAGGAAACAGAACATCCCTTGTGTGTAAAACATGCTTTTCTTGGATATACACACACATAAGCACTGAACTGGTCTTGAGAGAAAATAGTGAGAAAACAGCTTAAGCTATGTTCAAAAACCTTCTCTCTCTAGGCTTTCTCATTGAACTTATCCTCCTTGGAGCAAACCTGAGCAACAGGCAGGTGCTGTTATTCCTAGTATCATAGAAAAGAAGCTGAATTCCTGGGTACTGAGTTTTCAGAATGCCTGAGACCCCAGTTACCATGACTGGCCTATGGTCCCATCAAAGCACATGACAGACCTCATGCCTTCTGAGTTACTTACAAAGGCTTAAGTACAATATTTCTCAGTTCACTGCTCTACAAGTCAAAATCAGTGATTCCCAGACTGGGTCCTAAAAGCAATGGGAAACAATGCATAAAACAACAGCATGTTTGTTTAAAAGAGTGTTGACAAAATATATAGTGGTCAAGAGGAAGGTGAAAGGTGATACCTTTCATAAAGCAGTTTGGTGGCCAATATCCTAAAAGATTACTTTCAAATATGCCCCCATAAATTATCCATTTTACATACTCTTGGCAAAGTGATAGATAACCTAAGTTTCAGAGCTATTCAGGAATTCCTAGGTGACTATTTATCAGATTAGCAAAAAACTTTTTCAAACTTATCTCTGAAATCTCAGGCCCTGCCGTACGGAAACACAGAGTACTGGGGTATGGAAACACAGAATCCCTGGGCTGTAGTAGGATCAAAATAAACAGGAAGAAGCTGCTAATAAAAGATGCCAAAATAAAAAAAGTTGTCCTAATGCCTAAAGGAACATGCAGCATACCTGTTTCCTAATTTGTACTTACCTGCTCATTGACTCGCTTGCAGAAGATGGCAAGCAGGAAGACAGCAGCAATGGGAGGTCCCAGGTAGCTGGTAATTGACTGAATATAATCAAAGAGCTGCCCACTTTGAGCTGACTGCACCACAGGAACCCAGGCAATGCTGACGCCAATTAAAACTAACATAAATGCCCTGTAAACATAGCCAGATATTCAGTTAGCCACCTGCTTAGAAGCACCTATCAGAAAGAAAAAAACAGCAATTAATCAATAATTGAAATGTTCATTTTGTATTCAACCAGCAAAGCAATGCTAATGGCCAATTACTATTGAACAAAGGAAATCCAAGTTGGATATTGTGTCTGTCAACTATCCATCGGCATACAGCTAAACATGCAAGCAAAATGTAGAAAATCACTTTTTTTCCTTTGTTTTTTGTAGAGAAAAATCAATAGCAGATCAACTAGAAGAACTAGTTCGTTGATGCTGTAGTATGGTGTAGCATAAAGCCTATGAAGATGTTCCAGGAAACATGAAATTGCTACTCTACCCTTATTTGGTTTAGTGGTGGACTTGGTAGTGTTAGGTTAATGGTTGGACTGGATGATCTTATCCAACCTGAACGATTCTATGGTTCCATATTTTAAAATAGTTCCCTTTGAATAGCAGTAGGAAGTGTTGAGAATTAGTTTAGCCACTTCATGCACCACTGTCAATTAAATTGGAAGCAAGGTCTTTTTTTTTCCCCGCTGAAGGAAAGGGCGCGGCGGGACAGGCTGCCTGGCCGCAGGAGATCACTGCTGCACTGCCCGCACGCTGCGGAGCGGGTTTCGGCCGGGCACGGAGCGCCGTGTTGGGAGGCTGTGGTCTGCAAGGCAGCTTGTGCTCGCTGTGTTGGCACGGCTGGGGAAGACTCAGCTGCGCTTACCTTCCAGCTAACATAAGCTCTTTCTCAGATGGTCGTGATCGAATTTTGGTGTAAATGTCCATAGTGAACAAGGTGCTAGCACTGTTAAAAATGGAAGTCAGGGAGCTCATAAGGGAGGCCAACATGACTGACAACATCAGACCCCGCAGACCTGAAATACAAAGAGAGGTGAACTGGGATGAGCGTTCAGTCAGGAGTAGCAGTACGTGGCACCATCCACAGTGCTTGTCTGACCCTTTCAAGTCAGCCAGCTATGAGCGTGTCTGGTGTATTTATGTGCTGACGCCTGCCTGATGTTCACTTGCAATGCAAGCAGCCTGATGTCTGCTGAGCTTTGGAAAAGCCATTTACAGCAGTGACAAGGCAACTCTTGAGCTTTTAGAACATAGGTACTTCTTTTGTGAATGCTGTCCAATTAAATGCTGAAATAATAAGAAAGAAATATTATGTAGACTTTCCCCAACAGTTATAAAAATAATTTCCTTTGTTTGCAGGTGAGTGCTCACTTGCTTGTGTATATCTGTAAACTAGTTGTTCAGAAAAAAAAAGGGTTCTTTTACTGTTTGAAAATCAGAGTAAGCCACTTTTCCAGATGGCATGATCTAGTCAACACAGTATGGAGAAGTACTGTAGTGTACTAATAACAGTATGTACAACAGTTATAATACAATGGGGAAGTACTAAAGATACCAGGGAAGTACCATGGTCTGTATAATATCATAATCTGTCTTTCTAGCCTTATGAACCAGCTCTGTGGTTTTCTGCAGAAATTTTTCTATGTATACATGGTCCTCTCCAGAGTGGTGCCTTATTCTGTCATTGAACAGGTGTCCTGTGGGACAGTGTGTACATAGAATATTTTCTCCTCCCACCTCAGCGGGCTTAGCAGGACTGCAGGCATATGCCTCCAACTCAGAAATCCTGGCAGAGACAGTCTTTTATTAATCATTGGCAAAGCAGGTTATTTTTTACCTTCACAGAAAGGGAGCTCAATTACCATTTCATCACCCAGTATTTGCCAGATGAGAGCTGACCTTGTCAATGTGTAGCCATTGTGCACCTACAGCTACAACTAACACAGACTACCCCTTTGATTAATAGTACATAGTTCTAGCAAGAATTTTTGAACTAAGTATGGGACTTGGGCTCCCTGTATCACCTGTTTTTACAGTCTGGCAGCCTCACCTTTCCTAAAACAAACAAACAAAAAATACAGACCGTGTCTTACCATCTGGCATAAGCTCCACTACCATTTTTGGATAAGCAATATTTGTACAGCCAACTGCGGTGCCACAGTACTGCTGGCAGACTTCAGGCACAACACAAGCCACCACGTCTGAGGAGAGGATAGGGAGACAGGGTTAGGCAAGGTCATATAGACAACAGATTGCTCCCAAATTGGAGACACAGGTTGCTCCCAAGTTGGGAGGCAGTCCTGAAGGGCAAAGGGGTCCATGAAGGCTGAGCATTCTCCAAGAAGGAAGTCTTAAAGGCACAGGAGTGAGCTGTCCCCATGTGTGGTAAGATGAACTGGCAGGGAAGACGACTGGTCTGGCTGAACAGGGAGCTTTTGCTGGGACTCAGGAAAAAAGGGAGAGTTTACCACCTTTGGAAGAAGGAGCAGGCAACTCAAGAACAGTACAAGGATCTCATTAGGTAATGCAGAAAGAGAATTAGAAAGGCAAAAGCCCAGCTAGAACTCAATCTGGATGCTGTTGTAAGTGATAATGAAAAATGTTTCTACCAATACATTAACAACAAAAAGAAAGCCAAGGAGAATCTCCATCATTTATCGGATGGAGGGGGGGAACATTGCCACCAAGGATGAGGAAAAGGCTGAGGTACTTAATGCCTTCTTTGCCTCAGTCTTTAATAGCCAGACCAGTCATCCCCAGGGCATTCAGCCCCCTGAGCTGGAAGACAGGGATGGGGAGCGGAATGGAGTCCCCATAATCCAGGAGAAAGCAGTTAACGACCTGCTACACCACCTGGACTATGGAGCCAGATGGGATCCACCTGACAGTACTGAGGGAGCTGGGAGAGGAGTTTGCCAAGACACTCTTCATCATCTATCAGCAGTCCTGGTTAACAGGGGAGGTCCCAGATGACTGGAGGCTTGCCGATGTGACACCCATCTACAAGAAGGGCCAGAAGTAGGACCCGGGGAACTACAGGCTTGTTAGCCTGACCTTGGTGCCAGGGAAGATTATGGAGCGG